CTCACTTTTTTTCAAAAAATCCCTTTTGAATAAATTTTAAAAAAAAAAAAAAAAAAAAAAAAAAAAAAAAAAAAAACAAACGAGACGGGAGTAGACACAAAGAGTATACCCCGTTGCTGTGACATGACAGGAGTAAAGACAAAACAAAACAAAAGGCAACCAAAAAAAAAAAAAAAAAAAAAAAAAGAGAGATAGATATACAGATATGTGTGTATAAATATACACTCGCTCTTTCTCGCTTTCCGAAGTGCAAAGCTGGCCAAAAAATACAATAAAAATATTAATAAAAGTACATACACACATACATATATATGTATGTATATATATATATATATACAGATATACCCCCACATCAACCCCCCCACCTTTCCCCCCAAAAGAGGAAGATAAGATCAATACAGACACACATCAAATCTTATTGTCGATGCCTTACCATGTATATATATATATATATATATATACTTTACAAAGGATCCATTCCTTTCCCAATTCTGCCGACCACATTATCTACTCTGCATATAGTGGTGGAAAGGGATGGGGGAAAGGCGAGGGGCGTGTTAGTGAAGTAAAGGACACCCTGTAGTAGTATTTGTAGTATGATTGTTATCATTATTACTGTTTATTATTCGTTGGGTTGCTCTATCATTAACACGGTACCCAACCAGTGTCTATGGTTCACCTCTAATATTTCATCCTTTACTTCTTTGTGATTGGGGACGGACAGAAACCCTGTTGTCCACCATCACCTTATTGTCCCTGTTTTACTCTACCATCTTCTTCTTCTTCCTCTTCCTCTTCCCATTCCTTCTCAAAGAACGCATCTACGGCGGCCGCGGCGACATCAACACCCTCCATAGGCAGTTCGTAGCAACGAGTCACGTACAGGAGAGGTAGGCCACGCGCCACTGCACTCCACTCAACAACGATATCCACCTCAGATCCCTTTTTGGCATCCGTGGCGCCCTGCCCCCCGTTCCTTTCAGATCGGCGCCTTCGCATAACTTTCTTGTCGACAAGTACCGCTTCCACAACAGAGGGGTTCTGATCAAACATTGGTGGGACGACTGCAACGGTTTGCCCAACACGCAACTTTTCTGATGGAATAAGGTGCAAGTGGAGTCGCTCCGCCTCATGAACTGTAAGATACCTCCACCTTTCGAGGGCGTAGCCCTTCCACTCCGGTGGTTGTCGCTTGATTCCACAATTTACCCTCTTCCTCCTCGCTTCTTCTCCTTCTTTTCCATGTAAACTGGTTTTTGTCTTCAGCGTCATTTTCTGCTTCTGCTTCTCGTTCCTCTGCTTATTCGCCTCTCGTGCCGCCTCCGACGACCGAGTCCTCTTGCCCTTCAACTTTCTTGTGCTCATTTCAATTGTTGTTGTGTTCTCATAGCCGTTTTTCGCCATTGACTCAGTTTCATCAATGCCATTGGACAAAGGCTTATGTGCCTTCTTCTGCATCGGCGTGCGGCACCGCAAGGTGGCACTGGGGTCAGGGTTCCTTTTTGGGTGGAGGAGGTCCCACCGGACACGTATGTCTTCCCGCTGCAATGCCCCCTTTCCCTTGATGCATTCCTGTGCCACGGCCGGCCAAGTCTCGAGAAACAACTTGTTCTGCAATCTGATATCTTCCTTCTGGGTCTTGTAGTAGTCCGTCATACCCCCCGCCATCTCTGCCATTCCAGGCACCTCAAAGGAAAGATTACGGAACCGCGCAGTCATCATCCCGTGATTTATAAGCTGCAGCGTGTAGTCATAGTCCTCTCGGATACGGAACCGGTACTTGCAGTCGGGTGGCAACAGGTCGTAACGAAACAGTGAGGCAATGTTGTTGTAGCTGTTCAAAGCAACGTCGCTATCACCATAAGTGTAGGCGAAACGGGGGTATTCTAGCGAAAAGATAGCGATGCCATTCATGTCGCAGATGTTACCATGTAACTCTTGAATGCGAGTGTAGACCTCAGTGAAGAGTTCGCGGGGAGTGATTACATGGTTCTTTTCATCCCACGCCATATAGAACCGTTGAATGTCGTCGTCCATTACCCAAAACCACTGTGCTGCCCGCGGCGCGGAGGAAGAAGAGGGTAAAGATGTCGCCAACGCTCTCGGAACAAGTTCTGTCAAAATGTAATTCCGCACATAAGAGACGCCCTGATCGGAAAGCGGCAATGCATGAATTTTAACAAGGCGCCGAACATCGAATGCATCTCGTCGTCGTGACAAGGGTGGTGGGGGTGGAGGCGTACAGGGCCGTGTGGAGAGCAGCTCCTGCGAAAAGAGGGATGAATTGCGTTGCAACCCATGACGTGGAAACAGGAACCGCAACTCATCACCGTCTGTACCATCCTCCGTACCGCCCTGGCCATTGTTGTGCACATCACCCCACCACTTTTTAACCAACCGATCCACCAGCTGTTCGTACAACGTGAGCTCCTCTGGCTGCACGACAAGCGTGAAAGGCACCTTGTCTTGTATCAGGAGCGAGATTGTCCCGCGCTCACTGTGGTATCGCGCCTTCGATGGAATAAATACGGGGCAGAAGTACGCCTCATTATGCCCGTTCAACTTCTCAATGCCTCCCACACCACCGTCGTTACGACCATCGGCAATGGGGCGAACAGGACTTCCCGAAAGACTCTCTTCCAGTAGCGCAAGGGTCCGCATTCGTGCATTCCACATCGTGCTCCTCTAGCCAATGTGTGGGCAAGAAAACACACTCACCCACAAATAATCAAAGACAGAAGAAACGCGGTCAATGCACGTTAATTACCCTCGCTTCCATACAACGCCCCCTCCCGTTCCCTCTGCTGCGCCTTTTTTCTTTCTTTCTTTCTTTCTTTCTTTCTTTTTTTTCTTTTCTTCTTGGGTGGGAGGGTGCTCTCAGTTCTGTGGCCGCGCCGAGGGGTTAAACAGCAGAAAGAAGATGGGAACAGGCGCATTCAATGACAACCCACACGAAGAAAGAAATAAACAAAACCATCACCCAAAACAGAGACATCCCCAACAACAGAGAGAGAGAGAGAGGAAGAGGGAAATTTACATACAAAAAACAACAACAACAACAACAACAACAACAACCGCATTTTTGTTTTGTGCTGAAAAAATATACATCCAACTTGCACGTTTACATTCCTCCTCCTTCTCCTCCTTCTTCAGAGTGGAGAAACAGACACGGCCAAAAAAACGAACAAACAAAAAACAAAAAACAAAAAACACAAAGAACGTTATTATTATAATTATTATCATTTAGAGAAATGCCTCGGCAGGTGAAAACATCGACCATTTTACTTCATTTCCCTTCCGTCTTACAGTGAGAGACCAAAAGGCAACACGCACAATAATAATAATACTAAAAGAGGAAGAAAGCCTACCAACCGACCAAGGCTAACAAAACAAGAAAACAAAGTATAAGTAAAATAAAATCAGTTCCTTTTTTTTTTTTTTGTGTGTGTGTGTGTGCGTGTGTTTTAAAGGGGATGAGGAGGAGCAGAACACCTCCCCTTCTTAATGCCAGGCCTGTTCCAAACAAATTGAAACAACTTTTCCTTGTATCTTCTTTTATTTTGTTCCAGTATACACTCGGCATACCTCGACTCCTGCGAAGAGAGGTCCTCTTCATTCACTCGCTGCTCCCCTGCGAGGGAGAAGGCAAATTTTAATCCCCACACAGAGAAATGCCGACACACGGTCCACAGTCGATCCCACACACGACCGTACGAATCCTCCACGACCGCGTCTTTTCCGTCGTCTTGCACAGTCGGGGGCTCAGTCATTTTCTCCATCGTTTTCATTTTTTTCCCCTCCTCCTTTGCCCTGGTCGTTTGGATGCTCCGCAACATATTACTCAGAAGCACATGGTCTTCCGCCCACATCACGCCCACGTAATATATATGTATGTATGCCGCCGGGGAACAACAGAAGCTCGACAATGAACGGACGACAGGGAAACACACACAACAACAACAACAAAAAGTAAGACAACGTCTCAACTGGGAATCAGACACAAACGCCCAAATATAGCCGACTCGTCTCGGTTCCTTTTTCTCCAGCAGGGAGCTCCACACCTCCGTCACACCCTCCCCTTTTTTTATCTGGACGAGCGGGAAGGGGCCTAAGCTATTAAAAAAGAAGAAGAGTAGTAAAGGAAGCCCCACAGCCTGAGATGCACCCAGAAAATCCGCGCATGCGCATTCACATCCTGAAACACGGACAAAGAAAGAAAGAGAGACAGCAAGAGCTTGTTTGTCTCAGCGTGGCAGACGCCTTTCCTTCCCCCACACACACACACAAAAAAAAAAAAAAAAAAAAAGGTCACAAGTGACAATTTTTCTTTAGACAAAAGAGAAGCAACTGTTCGCGGAAGTCAATTTTTCAAACTTCAGCCGACGTATATTCCCCGCGTCCCACATAACGGGAACAAACCGCACCGTGACACATCTCCGCCTGCTCAATTTGCTGCCAAGACGCCGCTCCAGAAGTACGTCGTGAAAGCGCAGGGGCACAACAAACTCTCCGTCTACAGTCGCCGTGATGTCCTTTTCTGCGTGGGGTCTGCATGGCAGTTCCCTCTCATGTTGCACCATACACTTCGGCACGAGAGGTGCCATCCGCAGCGGCGTCGGTTCGAGACAAATTTTAACGGGTGTCTTGCCTGCTCTCAATCCAACTGTGTTTCGCCCATCCGTTTTGGGCGCAGCGTGTGGCATCCCTCTGTCCCCTTTTTTTTTTTTTTTTTTTTTTCCAGGGAGGGGGGACAATTAAAACAACAACGAAAAGAAGCGGAGTGAGTGAAGAATGGCGGGCACACATGACACATGAAAGTTGCAGGATGATACAATCAACGTCCATGCGGAAATAAATAAATAAATAAATATAAAGATAAACAAAAAAACAGAAGCAAAAAAAAAAAAAAAAAAAAAAAAACATTCTTATAAATTTATAAATAATGACGGCAAAAAAATTTCACATCAACGCACCTGTTTTTTTTTTCTTTTCTTTTTTTGCCGGGAAAACAGGGAGCAATTTTCATCCGGCATTGCGTAATCCTCCTCCAGTCAAAAGTCCACCGACGCCAGGAGGGAAGCCACCGCCTCCGTTTCGCGGATTCCCCGCCCAGCATCCTTCTGCTTGAGCCTCGCAATAAAGCGTCGGCTCCTCTCATATGCATCATGCGCCGTCGTGTCAGTGAAGTTTGGCGCATAGGCCTGCGTCACAACGGCAACATAATCCCGGCCTTCTTCTTGCAGCCCTCGACGGATCCCCGGCGGTTCGGTAAACACCCAACGCTTATTGAGTGAGGGATAAAAGCGCCGGGTCATTTAAACGGCGCGCCGCCCCCGGACCGGCATCGACACCGGAACCATGAGAATAGTTTTGGCTTCCCCACTGCGGGTGCTCTTAGAGATATCTGCAGAGCTCTAAAGCCACTTTTCCCCACAAACAAACAACAACAACAACAAAAAAAAAAAAAAAAACACAATTAGACACAATGAAAACGACATTTAAAACCCCCTCCATCAGTCAACGAGATTCTCCTCCGTGAGGCACCCAGTCTCCCCGCATAGAATAACATCATTCACCTGCTTCAATGCACCGTATTTGTAATGTGCACACAATATCAACAAAAAAACAACAAAAAAAAAACAAAAACAAAAACAAAAAACAATAACCAAACAGACAAACAGACGCGCACATAATCACAACACCAATAATAGAATGAAAATAACATTTAATTCTTCTTTTCTTTTTTTGTTATAAAAATAAAATGAACGGGCGAGAAAGGGAGTACATGTATTTGCGAGCTTTTCATCCACAGGCAACACCCATTCCCCATTACCGTTATGGTAAAAAGAAAAAGAAAAAAATAAATAAATAAATAAATAAATAACTAAAAAATAAAAACAAAAGAAAAGTTTTTTTGGAAAGAATTACCCCAACATCTGCTAATTTTCACTGCTTTCATAGTCCTCTCTACACCACAGCATCGCAACCAATTCTTTTTCCCACTAGGCGCGCCGATGCCTCTCACAAAAGGATTGAATGCGCTGGACAGCTTCGTGTAACATCGGCAAGGATCGAGAAACAGTTATCCGCAAAGCTCCTGGCATATTAAAAGGCTCGCCCGGGAATACGTGAACATTTTCCTCCTCCGCAAGCCTCCTGGAAAACTCCACGTCCGACCGTACGCTGCAGTCCAATTCCTCAAAGGCGAGAACGACAGACATAAACATCGAACCACGTGGCCGCACCAACTTAAGACCGGGACAGTCCTTGAGGCCGTTGTAAAGCACCATCGCCCCCGCCTCCATGCGATTCGCACAGTCCTCAAAAAAACTCTGTGGCGTCTCCTCAAGGGCACTCACGACAGCATGTTGCAAGAGCGAGTTGGGCATCAGAGTACGGGTGGCCAGTTTTCGCACCCCTTTCAGTAGTTTTGCGCCGTAACCATCCCGATCCACCACAACCACCCAGCCAAAGCGATACCCTGGCACGTTGAACCGTTTTGAGAGACCACTCACAACAAAAAGAGGCACCGGCGTGTCAAAGTCCGCCACGGAGGTGAACGTCTCGCCTGAAAACACCAGGCCCGCGTAGATTTCATCCGCGATCAACGGGAGGTGAAGTTCCTCGCAAACACGAATGAGGTCCGCAATGT